TTGGTGTTTCGCTGGTGTTTCCCCCGCGTTGTGTGGGGCTTCGTGTAAGGGCGCGCCAACGAGGCGTGGATCGCCAGCAGGGTCGTCGTCCGCAGACAGTTCCTGCCGCGACACCAGAACCGCGCCGGCAAGGTGTTCGGCGGGGACATCATCGAGGCGCTCGAGGCCGTGGCGCTCGCCAGCGCGCGCCGCGGCGGCGGCGGGGCGTGCAGGACGATCGCCGTGCGCGCGCTTGCGTTCGTCAGGGCCGTGGAGGTCGACGAGGTGCTGCAGGTCGAGGCGACCGTGGTTGGCGGCGGTGCGGGCGGCATGACGGTCGTTGTGAGGAGCTTTGTGGACGAGAAGCATGACGGCAAGCAGATGCGCGTGGCGCACGCGGGGGTGTTTCATGTGCGGACGGAGGGGACGGTGGAGGGGGACATGGCCGTGGCGCAGGGCGAGAACGGGCTGGAGGGGTTGAGAGCCCTCGCCATGCCCATGGGAGAGGAGGTGAGGGAGGCGTGGGGCTTGCGCTATCCGGCCGCCAATTTTGTAAAGTATTAGGTAGGGCGGGTGTACCGAAGCTTAATTTTAGCAAAGGCTTAACTTGCGTACTGTATGAAGATCAATCATCGGTTTACTCGGAACAAAGATACAGTATGCGCTTTACTGCGTGCATATCGCAACGGAACACCATTGAATGGCATTCTTGGCGTAGCTACACTGATCACAGCAACTAACTTGGGCCAACTTAATTCTGAAGCCCCTTTTTCAGGTCCATAACCATATTTAACATGGTCCAGATTAATTGTGAACCGGGGGTGACCCCCGGTCTTAACAGAGCGAATTTCTTGCCCGACACCACCGCTATCATACCGATTTTCTTAGAATATTCAAAAAATGTATTTGACATTGTGCGCCACTGTGCGCTCTCTACTGTAAGTAGTAGAAGTCACAGCTCGCCCATCCGGATCCGGATCCACATGGCCAGGACGATACTCATCCCAGGTCTATTTCTCAGAGCAGAAGATAAAGGGGGGGTACCCTAATGTGGAACGGGAATCAAAAAGTAAATGAAAAATCTACTTCTCGGTGGGGTTTGGGGGTGATTTTCACAGTGCTGTCAGCCTCATGGAATGCACAATTCTATTCCCAATGACGAACAAAAAAGAACAGGAACACGCGTTACGGCACCAGCATAACTCTGCGATGGAATTTTCTACCTCGCCGGAGTTAAAACGCCCTAAAGATCGAACACCAGAACCAATTTATTTAGAAAAAACATCAGCGGTTGAAACAAATTCCGGCGCCACGTCATCATGCTAGATGAGTCTACGAGACCTTTGTACTTTTTCCAGCGCATCCTGGCGCTTCATGGCAACCCTGTGACGTGCAATAGCCCTCCTCTCCTCCAAAGATCTGACCGTTCTCTTCAACTGAACAACGCTCACTCCGATTGCCTTCGCCCGGCGCAACCAAGCCGATTCTTGGAGACGGGTCACCTCAGCTCTCAACTTGTTCTCGCGCCTTGCTGTGTTCATCGCTGTCTGTGCTGCACGTAGATCTTTCTCAACCTTTTTTGAAAAGTCCGTCGCACGCTTATCGCGCGCGAGTGCTAATGCACGATCTGACGTCAGTACTGCTCCTTGGGTAGTGTCTACAAAGCCACTTTCGCTAACCTTAGCGTCTTCCCCCAATATTACTGAGCGCATTTGAAGGCGCTTCTCTTCGAACAAACTGGTCATCTCTGTTACAGTCATGGTGACACTGAGGTCGTGCGCGGAACGCGGTCGGGGCACAGAATGCAATTGGGAAGAATCTATCGGGACGATTCCAGCTCGGCGGAATCCGGAAACAATATTGGACGGGTTAAAGGCCTTTTTGTAGGCGTACTTTAGCATTCTGCAAAAGTAGTAAGCATCCCAATTATCCTCCCCATTTTGTGTCACATCCATGTTCAAAGCTTCATTCAGAGCTGCTTTAAACGGCGAGAAGATACAAACATCCAAGGGTTGAGTTTTCCCTGATGTATGCGCAGGAAGCGCGTAAACACTAATGTTGTTCTTGTGTAGAATGTCCAAAACAGCCACAGACATATGTGACCTGTACCC